CACATGCTGTAAAGCGCCTTTATCTGAGGCTGGATCAACCAAAAACAAATTAAACCGTCTCTGCTGTTTGATATACAGAGCGTCTTTGCTATATAATCCCTCCTATTAAATACCAGGGGCGCAAGCGTATTCAAGTCATACTGCAACACAGGTGATAGCATCAGATGAATGCTTATGAGACTTACCTTGATTCAACCGTAAAGCGCGTTTAATACTTTGCTATCGATGATAAAACGTGCAATTGCTCGGGTATTTAGATGAGGCATTCTACCGTTGTTTAATTTTGAAACATTTGATTTATAACTACTGCTCCTGTGTCAATACAAATTTCCTAGGGCTTATTGCACTGCTAGTATCAGGTCGCATGGCCCTGACAATGGGCATGCATCGTTGATAAAGGGTTAATGCCCCGCCCCGTGGTGTACATTGTGAGATAATCCTTGGTCAGGTGCGATAACCACCGAATAAACCACGAACGAGGTGGTTTATGAGTGGTGTTTTTTCTAATAACCAACCACTTTAGAGGTTACGGCCTGATAACCAATGGGAAATGGAGCCTTCTGATTGGTTGACGTTAGGTGTAACAAGTCGATCGGTGTAATATAGCCAGCTGCCGCCGCGCCGCGTGCCTGCGAAGCTGGTGTGTTACGCCGAAAGGCGGTTATACCGGCTATACAGATACAGATTCCAAGGTATCTAAGAACTGCTGATTGAAGAAACTTCTATCGTTTAAATAGCATCAATGAACATTTTGTGCACTTTTCCAGGTACGTTGTCATCGTTCATCCCCAGAAACAGGGCTTGACGAAGAAGAAGGCACTGCTGGTGATCCTGGGTGTGTGGATCGCCTCAGCAGCCATCATGGCCCCTCAGGCAGTCGTGTCGTATGAGAAAGAAGTCCTGTACGAGAACCACACGTTCCACATCTGTGGCGAGTTCTGGCCATCTTCGACTTCCCGCCAGAGCTACACGGCCGCGTTGTTCAGCCTGTGCTACATCATACCATTGGTGGCAATCAGCTTACTGTACTCCAAGATCGCGACCAAAGTCTGGTTCAAGCCACCCCCGGGAGCAGCTGACGGCAACTCGCGGGGTACCAGCGGCGAGAAGGCATCATCGGTCCCCGTCGGCGTCGCCGCCTGCAGGATGAGAGTCGTCCGCATGGTCATCGCGCTCGTCGTGGTGTTCGCGACCACCTGGATGCCGCTCTACATCTGCTGGCTCCTGGAGGACTTCGGCAACCTGAGCCTTCGGCAGCAGATCAACCTCCACCACTACGTCTACCCGACTGCCCACCTGGTGGCCTATGCCAACAGCTTCATCAACCCGCTCGTGTACGGGTTCTTCACCACGAACTTCAGGCAGCATTTCAACCAGACGTTTCGAAAGGCGACGGGTTCACGGCCAATGTCGCTGGCCACGACCATGATCCGCCGGCACAAAGCAATGGACGACGTGCAGACCGGCACGGCACACTCCACCCCTATGACAAGCCTGAAGGTGAACGTTGT